TCTGATCTGGCTACGGTGGTTCACACTCTTGTTTCATCCAGAATAGACTACTGCAATGCACTCTATGTGGGGCTGCCTTTGAAGACTGTTTGGAAACTTCAACTAGTCCAACGGGTGGCAGCCAGATTACTCATTGGAGTGACATACAGGGAGCATACCACCCCCTTGTTGTGTCAGCTCCACTGGCTGCCGGTCCACTTCTGAGCTCAATTCAAAGTGCTGGTCTTGGCCTATACGATTCCGGCCCAGCTTACTTGTCCAAATGTATCTCCCTCTACGTCCCTCCTTGCATTTTAAGATCATCTGGGGAGGCCATGCTCTTGGTCCCACCAGCTTCGCAAATTCGTCTGGTGGGGACGAGGGACGGGGCCTTCTCGCCAATGACCCTCCACGTGTGGAACTTGCTTCCTTGTGAGAGTAGGTTGGCTTCATCCCTCCTGTCTTTCAGGAAGAAATTGAAATCATGGTTCTGGGCCCATGCTTTTGTACAGCAGGCATAACAGCACAGGGTTAGAAGGGTAGAATATAAATGCAATCAATCAATCAATAATATCTTCACAGAGTGTGAACTTGGGAAAATTAATTTTTGGACCACAACTCCAAACCAACTTCCAAGCCTGACTGGCAGAGGCTGTAGTACCCTTGCTTTCTTTGCTTCTTTCTCCTTGCCAGGGAAGGGATATATTCCTATTTCAAAAAGTCTGAATGTTTTTTCCTTCCCCACTCCCTTCTCTTTCTTTCCAGACTCACTCCACTCCTACAAAATTAAATTGAGGGCCACATGGGAATTGAGGGTTGCAGGTTGCCCATCCTTGTTGTAGAGGATGGGCCAATTAGGACATAAATCCTGTGCTCTTTTAAAAAAAATTAATACCTTCCAAGTAATGCAAAACAGATGCTCCAAACTGTAATACTCTAGCTGTCTTCCTCTTCAGAAGCATTCTCATCCTTTGTCTAGCTGCTGTCAGATGAGGAGAGCTCTGCTGTCCTTACAATATGTACATATATATTTTATTTGGAAATCTGCAATATAGTTTGCCAGTTGCTGGCTTCTCAGTTCCTGTCTTTTGTGTTCTGCTTTGGCTCAGTTACTTTTGACATCTGTGTGTGTGTGTGTGTGTGTGTGAGAGAGAGAGAGAGAGAGAGAGAGAGAGAGAGCATGCACACATATGCATTGAAGGAGAAATGCCTCATTTAAAATTTTACAACCAATTAGCATTTAGGGAAATCTTATTAAATGGCAATTGTGTTAATAACTTGGTTGCACTTCAGCTGTTCCTACAAGGATAAAATCTCATCCTCCTTCTCTGTAAATCCCCTTCCCCAAGTAGGTCAGTTGCATACTGTTTTAAAAACTATCTTGTGCCACTGCGGGAGCATATGTTTCCAATAGAACCATAAGCTCTAGGCATTTTCTTATTCCAGATATTTTTCATCATTGCCTATTTTTTGGCTCTTTCAAGATTGGTTTGGCATGGTCAGCGCAAACTCTGTTTGGGGTAGATGGGAAGTTCTAAAGTTTTTTCTCCCCCCTGGGTGAAATTATTTTGTGGCTTTATTTCATTATAGAGTCACCTCTGTTTCTCTTTATCCAGACAAACGTCAATAGCAAGACACAGTACATATATATTGGTTTAGTGTTTTAGCTGCTATGCATGAACTCCTTCTAAATAAAAGCCTCATGGCAGAGGCTCTGTGCTAGGCCGTCTAAAATAACAATGGGTTAGATCTACATTTAGTCATCTTTGTCATTGTCATTTAGTCATTGAAATCAATGGGACATGTTAGTCATGACTTGACTGATTGAAGTCAACATTCCAGTCTCCTTGAGCATTCAGAGCATGAGTAGAATACCTTGCCATCACAAACACAGACAAGTCAACTTTTGCACTCTTGTTATTATGGTCAAGACTTTTACAAAGAGGAACATGGCCTTCTTTCCCTCAGGAATGTGCATTTGCCTTTCTCATTTTTATTTGATTCATCTGAAGGAAAGGACTTCGGGACCAGCCTAATGTTGTGCTCCAACTAAACCTTTAGTGTTTCATGTGTTAATGTTTGAGATATGATAAACTGCTATAGGATTTGTACTCGTTTGTAGAACAAAGCTGACACCATGAATGATGCTGCTGTGAAATATATGGTTTGTAATGACATGTAAACTTATCCAGGAACACCCAATACTGGTCTTAGTGGTGGGATATAAATTCAAATTCCACTCTTGAAGAAAGTGCGGGGAACTAACAGAGGTAACTCTTTTGTGCATTTTCATTTCAGATTAACAAATGGAAGAAGATGGGGGGGGGGTCACAAAATATCATGTGGAGGATGGCATTCTTTAATCCTTGATCAAAACTATTTGAAACTCTAAAAAATATTATCTTGTAAATCAGGGGTCCTCAAACTATGGCCCAGGGGCCGAATATGGCCCTCCAAGGTCATTTAACCGGCCCTCGCTCAGGGTCCATCTAAGTCTGAAAAGACTTGAAAGCACACAACAGCAACAACAATCTTATCTCATCAGCCAAAAGCAGGTCCACACTTCCCATTGAAATACTTATAAGTTTATATTTGTTTAACTTGTTCTTCATTTTAATTATTGTATTGTTTTTTAAGATATGTGCCGTGTGCATAGGAATTCATTCATTTTTTTTCAAATTATAATCTGACCCTCCAACAGTTTGAGGGACTGTGACCTGGCCCTCTGTTTTAAAAGTTTGAAGACCCCTGCTGTAAATGGTTCTTATAAAGAAAGTTTCAGGTAGATGATAAAAAATACCTCTGCCCAACACAAGACTAAACTATCCTATTACAAACTGCCTATAGTCCAGAACAGGAACATTTTTCTTAGGAGCTGTAGTACAGTTTTTTGTCCCACTTTTATATAACTAATTTAATCTTGGCTTGCTAGTGATAGTCTTTGTTTTAATGCCCTATGTTACTTGCAAAAGAACTGTGAGTGTTTACTTTTGTCCACTTAAGTGCAAACAATTCACACTGCTACATTTTCAGTGTTTCGCTACTAGTTTTGCTTTCACTAGCAAAAAGCTGCCTCTGAATTTCTTAAGCCTCTGGTAGTTATTGGGGCCATATATGATGAATTGTATCTCCATATTACAGACAAGGGGCTGCAGTCCTGTATCATTAGCTCAGTGGTTCTCAACCTGTGGGTCCTCAGGTATTTTGGCCTAGAACTCTCAGAAATCCCAGCAAGGTTACCAGCTATTAGGATTTCTGGGAGCTGAAGGTCAAAACATCTGGGGACCCACAGGTTGAGAACCACTGCATTAGCTGATAGTACACTGATTTCAGTTGGGTTTATTCTGTGTAGATATGTATGGATTTTGGTGTCATTGGTATATGTTTTGTACCATTGGTACACAGAACCATGGCTATGTTTCTGTGTTTCTCACTCCAGTCTGTTTCTAAACTGATATATTTTTCTTTGAACTGAAGTCAATCAGGTTGTCACTAGCTGATAGTACACTGATTTCAGTTGGGTTTATTCTGTGTAGATATGTATGGATTTTGGTGTCGTAGGTACATGTTAATTTACCATGGCTATGTTTCTGTGTTTCTCACTCCAGTCAGTTTCTAAACTGATATATTTTTCTTTGAATTGAAGTCAATCAAATAAATAATAGCAAAACTGTTTTCTGTATAAAATTGGCAATAGTAGGGTTGCACATTGGGGCCAAACCTTGACCCGTTTCATGTCCCAGCCTTCGGTGGGGCCCCCGAAGCCTCCCGAAATTGGGAGAGCAGATATCTGTTTTTGCTCTTTGGTGCTGAAAGATCTATTTTCTATTGTCCCATTATTGGGGGGGGGCTTCCCACCAAGACCCCCCTTCCTGGTGTGCGCTTTAAGGAGGCTTTTTCTGATGTTTCAACTCTAGAGGAGTTGCTTGGCTGCACGTCACACACACATTCTCTTTCAAGGAGTGTGTGTGTGTGACATGCAGGCCCTGAGTGCCCACGCCACCAAGGCCTGCAGCTGAGTGCCTCTTACTCTAGAGTAAGAGGCACTTGGCTGCAGGCACTGGCAGATGCAGACTCTCCTGCATGCCACACACACTCTCTCCTTGGAAAGAGAGTGGGCATGGGTGGCATGCAGGCCCAGAAAGTGCCCATGCCTGCCAGTGCCTGGATCTGAGTGCCTCTTACTCTGTGGTGTCGAAAAGCAGGCCAAGAGCTGGGAGGGGCATACCAGGAGAGGCGTTCCTATTCCGTGCTCCCAAAGAAATGAAAGGCATGAAAGAAAGAAAGGAAGCGGGAGAAACAAATTCCACGCACAACTCTAATAGTCAGTTTATTTTTAAAAACTGTTTAGCTGCAAGCTTTCATTGATAAAATGTTCAAGTACCAAAGTTTTAATTGGCAGTTTATGTATTGGGACTAAGCATAATCCACGGCTTTAGGGTTTTTGGAGATTATTTTGGTTCTGGTTGACTAACCTGCATTTTCTGTTTACTTTGAGCTATGAAAATGTCATAGAATTCTAAATTATTAAACTGCTTCAAAAGCATATAATCAGCTCAATATACCTTAAGAACATTTAGTAGGTTTAGATATTTCCATTATTCACAGACTTGTGTGTGTGGCAGACCATTTATACAATAGCTTTGCTATTATTTATATGCTATAAGTGACAACCTGATTGACTTCAGTCCAAAGCCAAAGAGGATCTTGAGAATAATTCCATTATTGTAAGAAAAACCTTTTGTTTTAAACTGGTCTGAAACACCTATATAAACTCCAGCCTTTTTCTTTTGTTTATAAAGCTCTACCATGGGAACAGAGCTTTGTGTTTGCTAATGCTCTACTCTCTCTTTTAACAACCTCCTCAATATTTTCCTTGCTGTTAAGTGTATGGAAATAGTTTCCAATGTGCATTTTAAAAGAAGATCTTTTTCAGGGCTTTAAAACTGCTTCTCTATATCTCTAATACCTCTTCTGCTTTTCTTATTTCCCTGCTGCTTCTTTTCTTGGACTCTCTGAAGTCTGGATGTCCAGCTTATCTGATTCTCCAAAGAAGGCTGTTGCAGGTATTTCATCATTTCTCTGTGTGGATTTGTGCCTCTCCTTTTTCATTTCTGTCCAATCAAAGAAACAGCTAGTAGCATGGTTTTCTGCATGTGATTGAAGAATGAAAGGCTGCTGGGAGTAATGTTGCCTGAATAAGGCACTTATTGTTTAGTTCTCTATAACAATTATAAGGTTGTATTCATTCTTTTTTGTTTTGTTTATGGTGCTTATGTTTTCCAATAACAATGTTATTTGGGCAGTTTACAGACATTAAAACACTAACACAAATAATCATAGAACAATATAACTAGTAAATAAACCCTCAGCAGTAATATCAAACAGCATAGTGTGTGTCAGTGTCACATAATTCAGTGTGTGAATGTCACAGAATTATAGACTGAAGGATCTCATGGACCATCAAGTCCACTTCCCTGCTGAGTGCTGGATCTCCAGTTAAAGCATCCCCAGCAGGCTGCTATCCAGCCACATTTTGAAGATGCCCAGATAATGAATTTGTTTTTTCATTGCCTTCTTCAGGAATGTATCTTACAGCACCTAGTATTTTTGGTGGACTGTCATCTAAGGGCTAACCAGGATGGACTCTGCTTACTTCCCAAAATCAGATTTTATCTCGTGTCTTTAAGATAATTAAGCCTCCCTTCATTACTAAAAATATTGAATTGCCATAAAATTCAGTAAATTCCAAAGTTCACACTATAAAATCCTAAGAAAATGTAAGTAGTGCAATATAATCAAAAGTTGTAGTCTAATAGGGCAGAGAAATACCATGATATAGTGATTTGAGTGTTTGAATTCCCACCCTGTCATGGAAATCCACAGGGTAATTTTGGGAATATCTCACTCTTGTCAGTCCAGGAAGGCAATCATGACAATCTCTCTCTGAATCAAATTTGCCAAGAAAATTAAAGAATAAGAGACTGGGAAGAGATCTGGAATAAAAAGTTAAAATGGATAAACTCATATGATCTGCGATAAAACTGGCTCAAGATGATGTACCGTTGGTATATAACACCCAGTAAATTGGCAAAATGGTATAAAAACATCCCGGGACTATGCTGGAAGTGTCAGAAAAAGAAGGGAACTTTCTTCCACTGCTGGTGGGCCTGTGACAAAATCAAAAGATTTTGGAAGGAGATACATGACATAGGAAACAAAATACTGAGCATAAAAAAAGAGATGAAGGCGGAATATTTCCTCCTGGGAATTTTTGATTTTGAATTAGAGAAAAATAAGGACAGACTTCTCTTTCATATGATGACAGCGGCAAGGATAGTGGTGGCCAAAAAATGGAAGAATAGTGAAATCCCAACGATAGACGAATGGACATGTAAATTACTAGATATAATGAACATGGACTGCCTAACAGAACACCTGAAAGCTATGCAAACAAGGGTGAAAAGCAAAGTCGACTGGTCTCCAGTCAAAAATTATTTCAATATTAACTAATATGGAAAAAGGAGAAGTTCGCGAAGGAAACCCTGAAAGCACCTAAACTAATCTGCGTAACGGGCTCTAATCAATAGAATAATATTGCTAACTTGGCTCCTCCTCAACCTCCATCCTCCCCGTACACCTCCCTCCTATTATTCCAGCACTCCCCCCTACCTGCCCTCGCCCTCACGTCCCCACCCCCCTATCACATCCATCCCACCCCTACCGAAGTACTTTTATCCTATGATTCTTCGTTGATTGACATTCTCTTGATGTTCCCTTTTAAAATCTTTCAATAAAAATCATCCAAGGATCTTATCAGATGGGCAGGGATAAAGCGAGGGACAGCAGGGGAAATCTTAAGACAGTGGAGGGAACCTTCAGGCTCTGTTCCCTCCTATTGGGGTCCATGTTCTTTTTTCTCATGTCATTTCCCCGTTGTCCCATGCTTCCTCTGTGCCGTCTCTTTCCTTCTTCAGTGAGGAGCCGGGTAAACACCCAACTCCTCTAGGCTTCGCTACTGGAACGGAGCCCCATGGAGTCTCGCTGGATGTAGTCCTGCATTATGCGATGAGCTCCTTGGGACTCAGTTCCAGCAGCAGAAAGGAGATGACACTCCTTTCCCTGCATCTGATGAGGCCCAACCATGCTGGGAGTAAAATTTAAACTCTTGAGTCAGAGGTAGTTGGAAGTCCACTAGCAGTTTCAACCTTTTCTTGTCATATTGGAGAAGGATTCAAATTGTAGAACAAAACATTGCTCTAGAAGCCATTTAAGAATGGGAGAAAGTCAACTTTTAGGGTAGAGAAATGTATCTAATCTTTGGGAGAACATTACTTTGTAGCAGAAGAAAGACTCCAGAACGGTGCATGTAGCCTATGAACCACATTTTGCTCATTGATGTTGCATGTGGAGAGAAATTAACCTGCGGCTCTGCTCTGGTTGAGGCATTTGGATCCAGTAGTAGCACAGGCAGCTCGTAACATGTTGCTTCAAGGACCTAGGCTCCACAGGCTCTAGAAACTTGTTTATCATAATCTCACTTCTTGAGCTATGTTGCTCTTCCGAGTGTTTCATTTTAAAAACAAGTTACAAACTGAATATTGTCAAAACTTCATAAAGATTTTAACATTAAGGAGAGTTTAGCCAGAATCACATGGTAAACAGTGCTTACTTACTTTTTCAGCTGATGAATTCTCAGTTTGTTAGAGGCTATTCTATCTGCCTTGAAAGCTTCAGTCTTTAATCCTGACTTTTTTCCAGAAAGGATTTGTTTGGGACAGAAGAAACTCTCAAAGAAGAGCTCACTGACTTTCCCAACAGTACCTAGCTTCTTCATCCTTTTATTTTGTTTATCTCTGTCCATTCATTATTATATACCCTCATTATTGTAAACAAATGAAAAATGATGTACACTTCAAACAACAGATAACACAATCAGAATAAATTTTAACAATTTTGCACAATTGTTTGGCTACACGGAGTTGCAAATTTGCTGGAGGGCTTATTTGTGAAATGCAATCTGCTGTTTTTCATACTTCAAATTACATTATAGTAACTGGAATATTTTGAGCTGATTCTAGCTTGAAGTTTTTCCTTCATTAGGAACATGCTGATCTCCTATTTTGAATTCAGCTCTGGGTACAATAATACTATCAAAATGACTCAATTTCCTCTTGTAAATTTGTGATTACTTGATATTTGAAACTTGGACCATACTTCTGTGTTTAGAAATATGACATTATTCTATTCTTATGCTGTTTTTTGTTTTTAATGTACTTGCAACAGGGCATAGGGGAATTGGATGTAGAAAAATAAAATACCAGTGGCCTTGCTCAGGTCAAGGATTTGGGATCCCTAACTTGGTTCAGAAGGTATTGGGGATTTGTGAGTGTTTCCTTCCAGTACAGTTTTTTGTTGTTGTTTATTCATTCAGTTGTTTCTGACTCTTTGTGACCTCATGGACCAGCCTACATCAGAGCTCTCTGTCAGCTGTCGCCACCCTCAGCTCCTTCAAGGTCAAGCCAGTCACTTCAAGGATACCATCTATCCATCTTGCCCTTGGTTGTCCCCTCTTCCCTTTTCCTTCACTTTTCTCTATCATCATTATCTTCTCCAAGTTTCCTGTCTTCTTGTTATGTGGCCAAAGTACTTCATCTTTGCCTCTTATATCCTTCCCTCCGGTGAGCACCTGGCCATTATTTCCTGGAGTATGGACTGGTTGGATCTTCTTGAGATCCAAAGCACTCTCAGAATTTTCCTCCAGCACCACAGTTCAAAAGCGTCTATCTTCCTTCTCTCAGCCTTCCTTATGGTCCAGCTCTTGTATCCATAGGTTACTATGGGGAATGCCATTGCTTTAACTGTGTGGATCTTCGTTGCCAGTGTGATGTCTTTACTTGTAAAGTGCAGCCCCTGTATTCATAGAGGATACATTTCTGAACTTAATGTAGAAACAGAAAACCATGAATAATAGTGAGCCTAATTGAAATGGACAAGTTTGGCTAAAAGTTATCATATAGTATTCTCTGTGGTATCCTCTCTACAAATTTGTTAATTCCTCCTCCAAGGTGACTCAACAGTAACTTCCAGCAGAAGTATACCATAGAATTACCTGGAAGACTAAGAAGATTACTGTGAAGGACATATTTGTTCAGGGCAAAGAAGGGAATATAAGCTGAATTACAGTGGGAAGGTTCCTCTAGGTATTGCAGTCCTTCAAGTACATGCCACAAAGGCTTTCACTTTTTGTAACCTAATGTGAAATAGCTGGAGTTCCATTCCAGTTTTGTAGAGCCCCTCAAAGTGAAATGGGTAATATATTGTTTTGATGCACAATTGCTGCTTCTAAAGGTTTTCAGGAGCAAAGGTTGCAATTTGTAAAGCCAAGATTCTTTTGAGGAGCAGGAGAGTTAAGAGTGACCAAGAAAAATTGCCCAAGGCACCACATATGATCCATTGGCTATAGGATTCCCACCTGTGAATTCAGCCAGTATTGCAAAATGGGAGGATCTGGTGGAACGGAGAGGGAATAATCTCTCACAATACATCCAATATAACACTTTTGAAACCTTTGGCACAAACCAAGGAACTACTCCAAAGGGGTTATACAGTTTAGATTTACCCTGATAGGTAAATCCAACTTTTCCTGCTCATTACAACACATGTTTATTTCTCTCCATGTCAGGGTGGCTTTAGGATTGCCATAAGTTGGAAATGACTTGAAAGCACTCAGCAACAACAATGTGTAAATATAATCCACAAAGTTTTCTGCCCTTTTTGGACTTCTTTGGATGTGGCAATAGAACCATTCTTGATGGGTCACATTTCATAATTTAGAGTCATATTACTGGTAAAAGGCCACTTTTCCATGAAATCCAGGAGCACAACTGGGAGGCTGCTTGATTGTGTGGAAACAAAATGTCCTAATGCCCATCTGGGCTACTGTTTTGTAAAACTGGGTTCCAGATACCAAAAAGAACATTGCTACATACTAGCCATCTGTGTGCAATTTTAACATATTAATAGTCATCATGTGATTGCTTCTTTAGCATTGTGGCTTTCTTCC